GCGATGGGCTCGCGGTTTAGAGCCTCCAACCGGACAGGCTAGAAGAGTGTTCACGGGAAGGAACTCTAGTCCACCTCTCATCTTTTCTATCTGTAACCGCAACTCAAGCAAGTTTTCCAGCCTACACTGCGACCATCTTCGGTGTAAGTAAACAATCTTTAAATCAACCATTAAGCGTCTGTGCCTAATTCTAGCGTGTCGCCTGTTCTCTCCGATCCAGCGTGCCCGGGCTGCTGGCCACAGCCTGTGCAGAGCGAAAAAGGGCCCGGATCGCACCCAGCCCGCACATGTACTTAGCCCTACTGACCCCCTGACTTTTTCAAGAAGGAAGAAGAAATAATGACTTGCAGTGTTAGCCTCAGTAAAACAAAAAGGACTGCTATGCAGAAAAAAAAAATAGTAGCCTCAAATACTTAATAATTCACATTTGTGTGTTAGGGCCAGAACAGATGATTTGGATGATCTGTCTAGCCTTCTGCATAAACAGGCCATATAACCTCGCCAAGTATTTTCTGGTTCAATATGAAGGTCTCTTTTAGTAAACTATCCTTTTTAATTTAAAACTATCAAATGTCAGAGAATTCACAATATCCTAGGTAAATTGGTCCACTCATTAATCACCTTCATTAAATATCTGCACTTTATTTCTAGTTTTGATTCAACCATATAAAATAGAGCCAAAAGTGATCTTTGAGAGGTCATTTAGTAAATTTCTCTGCCTGAGGGTAAGACCAGTTGTGCCTAAAACATTCCTGATGGCTGTTTGTGAGAATTTTTCAAAATTACACTTTTAAACTTTCAAGTTTTTTAACTTCCCATGATGAAAATTCCACTACCTCCCTACATAATCTGTTTCTTCCTTAATATCTAAATCTCCTTTACTGCAAGTGAAAGCTGTTGCTTATTGCTGAACTTCACCTTCCATCTCATTTTGCTCTCAGACCCTAGCTGGAATCAGTTTGGTGTCTGCCTTCACTGGAGATCTCTACACAGCACAGGTAGTGAAGGATGATTTGGTTGGTCTTTTTCCTCCCTGATTTCTATGTTCCTAATCCTGGAAAATGTAAGAGGGGACACACAAACAAGGTACTGTGCACGGTCCATGTAGCCAACCAATCTTGGTGGATTTTTCCTAAAGAAATCTTTTTCTACAAAACCACTACAAACAGCTGACATTTCATGTAGCACAGTTTGCCCTGTTGTATTGTACTTGTATTCTACAAATTCTCATACTTCCATGAGGTGCCCAATTCAGGTAAATGTCAGGGAAATGAAGCAAAAATGTTATAGAGGAATTAATATATTCCCCCCCTAACATCTCAGAGCTGTTCAGTGCCATAGTGGCCAAACACGAAGTGACGTGTGTTCAAGTAACAAGTGCAAAAAGGAACAAGCATTCTATGTGTTGAGGATTTTCACAGCACTGATCCCAGATGTAATGGTCCACTGAAAGCAGAGCTTTCTCCACATTCTTCCAAGAATCAAATATCAACGAAAGGCTTGGATCAAAAAACAAGTAATCCTGTAGGTTCACCGGCAAAGCTTTGTTTGGCAGTGGCATAGGCCAAACCCCCATTATACCAATAGCAAAGAAAATATGAGAGGGACTGGATGATGATTCCATGTGGGGATCTCTGTGGTTCCACTAGCAATGGACTCCTGGCCAGCTCAGGGATGGAAAACAGATGTAATCTGAGCATGTACGAAGTGAAATTGCCTTGCCATTTAGATGCAGTATTTTTATTTCTAGAATTAGAGAACTCTTCCAGCTGTCTGCCCCTCTCTACAGCAGAATGACATAAAGCAACAGCCCCATTAACTCCCTTCCTCAAAGTCCTAGAAGTGGAAGGACTATCCATGCAGCCCAGTTACCATATTTACTTGAATACAAAATAAGACTTTTCCCCCTGAACAGCATGAGGTTTCTTCTCACCCCAAAAACAGCATGCAACCCAACTGAATAAAACATATAGTAGTGCCCATTGAGCATAGGCCTCAGCGCCAACTCTTTTTCAGATCATGGTGAGCCACTATATTGCATATATTTCAAATTCCTCCTCACCTCCACAGTTGATCTGCACCTTCTTTCCCATTTCCAAAGATTCCTATTTCTTCACCAGTCTTAAACATCTGGGAAACATCACCAAATGTGGCCCCAAACAGTTCGCCCAGAATCCTTCTGTCACCACTTCTCTCACCCTGTTGCATATGATTAATGGGACCCTGTGCCCTCTATGAGGTAAAGCCAGACCAGGTTGCTTTGTGCCTTATCTGTACATAAGTTTTTGAAAGATGCCAGGACTTGTGACAAGAACACCCAGTTCTAGTCATGATTAGGGCGCTAATTAGTACATGGATCCTTTGTTGTGGGTATCTGGAGTACACACATACTGAGCAGCGCTGAGATGTGGGATCACCATGGCTTAAAATGCTGTTAACTGCTGAGGCCAAACCCAGTGACCTATATGATACTCACGAATCTTTTGGTTTTGGACTACTTTCATGCATAGTTTGTATTATATATAAGTAGGTGCCAACGTGCTGCTTAAAAGTGTGTTTATGAAGTGCCCATACTAAAACTTGCAGCAGTTTAAAAAATGCAATATGCATAAATTCTGGATGAACTAAGTCTATGGGAATTATATGCAAATTACTACAGGTATGTTTTTCTTAAGGTCAGTGTTTCCAAATTTGCCCCTTACTTCCATGTGTTTGGGGAGAGCAGGGTCTGACAGTAAGGAGGGGGTGGGGAAGGGGCTGAAGGGGGAAAAAGTTGGAGGGGATGACAAAGGGGCTACCTGACTTCCCAGATTTATTTTCTTTTCTGTAGCAGTGGGAAGGGGACAAATTCAAGGCCAACTTCCAATAATTAGATTGTATACCTGAAAAAATAACATATTTATAAAATTTTCCATATGTAAAATCTAATTATTGTGGGGTCATCTTATATTCAGGGCTATCTTATATTATAATACATGCAGTACTTTTTTGCTGCTGCTCCCCACTCCTACCTCCCACACTCTTCTGATATGGTGAGCCCCCATACAGTATGGTAAATTCTCACAATTGCATCAGGAGTCTCGTGCTACTGGCATTTGCCATCTGATTCAAGGCTCCAGATCTCTAGTATTATGTAAGTACGCAAGGGATATTTTTTTTTACTTGCATATAAGCCTATGTCTGTGGTGGTGGACAAAAGCTTGAAGAAATGCATCAAATGTATTCTAAATGCTCATAATCCTGTAAGGAAATAATAACCACCCAAAATTGGGGGTATTTTTAAATTTCCTGTTTTTAGCCAATTTGTGAGCCAGAGTTATCTTTTTTTCTATACTTTTTTTCTAACCCTACCCCTATTGTAATACAGATCAGATTCATGGGCCCCTAAATCTTGTATAGAAAAAGAATTCAGTTTCTTCAAGCCTCCCTACTACTATACAGTAGATCCAATATATTCTGCCACCATTCAAGGAACTTTCTGCATCACTGAATTCCAGAGAAACAGCTTTTCATGTCAGTTTCCGCATTCATATCTGAGATACCCAGGAATAGCTTAACTGCCCTGGAAAAAAAAATTATCAAATAATGACCCTAATCCTTATGGCTGACTGATCAGTGTTCAGTATAGGATATGAGTAAAGGTCAAAAGGAACTTATAGTAATTTCCCAATCCTGGCAACTGGTTCTGCCCCAGCACACTTCAGAGAAGGTTAGAGCTATTATAGCTTATGCTGGCTAGTAACCACCCCTCAAAGGGTCAACCTTCCTTCCTCTTAATAAGAAAAATTCAAAACAAGCACGAGACAGAGAAGCTTGTTTTGATGTCAATAGAGCTTTGATCTCAGTGGAAGGTCCTCTGGACATAGTAGTAATATAGTAATAGAAACCTTTGCACATACCAGTCCTGCCAGTCACTGATGATGGTTTCCCCTCTATATTGTCCTTCATGTATATGACAGTAATATTATACACTGTGCCAGGTTTCAAGCCTAGAGAGAACAAAAGGAGCAATGCGAGCAATTAGAGAAAAAAAATGAAATTAAGCTTTTCTTAAGGAAATTGCATTTTTGGTATACCCTTCCTGGATATGCTTGAGAAATGAGTCTGAATTGTAGTATTTGGATCAAAACTTCCCTTTGTCTGGGAAATCTGAGTTTTTGGTTCAGGTCCATCTTTGTCTCCCATGTGTGTCATAATTTGTGAGAATTTATATTTTACCTATTATTAGTAGTATTTGTAGCTCTGATATGAAAAATAAACTATTCTTGAAATGGGTTGCATGAGCGTGCACTGAAATTTACTATCCAGACATCTACACGATACCCTTAAGTTGGCAAATTCCTGAAGATCTTAAGAGTGCTACACTTTGTCTAAACATGTAGTACCAGATCCACAGCTGAGACCCATTGAAATCACCATATTTCACCACTATTCCAGTTTCCACCATGTGGATCTGCCTCATAAATAAAAGATACTCCAGGTGTACACTTCTGCTAGAAGAACAAACCAAATTTAAGTGGCCTGGTCATTTAAAAAAAGTCCTATAATTTCTCATGATTATCAGCCAGACTGAAGGACTTAATTAGAATGGCTGGAAAGAGTTAACTGCTAAAACTCTCTGAAAACTTAGAAGCAGCTGAAGTTGCTCAACCTGGCAGTGTCCAATACTCTTACAAGAAATCCAGGATGTTTCACTTGATGAAATCAAAGGCCATGGTACAGTGCCTAGAAAAGGCAGTGAACAACAAGTCTTCCTTGAAGAATGCAATAAACAAGATAAGAGAGGATCAAGAGTTACCCAACGAAACTAAGAGAAGAGAACCAAAGGTTTTGTACAGAATGGTACAGAACAAGATAACTCTGGAATGTGTTTATTCATAATTAGGCATAATCAGTATTTGACTGGGGTTTCGGCATGCCACAACAAGCCCTGCATCTTTACCAACGTGCAGATTTATGTATTGGATTGTATTCTAAAGGACAAGAAAAGTAAAATGTATAAAATGCTTGCCTTGACAGCAGTCTGATTAACTGTCTGGCTCTGATTAGAAACTGTTACAGTAACAAACTCATGGCTCATGCTTTGTGTATTCAAACTTAAGAAGAAGAGGTTGTGCTGGCCACAGTAGAGGGAAGTACATCCAACTCTGTGGTTCTGCCGGTTGGATTCCAATCCAAACCCTTATCAGTGAAGGGATGTTTTGAAGGAAACCCAAATTAGTTTCCAGCTGAAGTGAGAGTGAAATATATTATAAAGGACACTCTTGGCCCTGCTCTCTCTCCTAGCTTGGTGATCAGGTGCTAAAGGGTGGCTCTCTGCCAGACTTCATCCAGGTTGCACAAGGTTTATGGCTCATATTATCTGTGCATGTTTGGAGTTTGCTGTAAGTCTCGCAGGGCACCAGATTGGACACAAAGTTAAGGAGTTCTACTAGCCTAGTGGTTCTCAACAGGGGTGCTGGAGGTCCCTTCCAGGGATGCCATGTTACAGGTACAGAGGTAAATGAGGAAGCAGCTGTGGCTGGAGCCCATTCTCTTCCTGCAACTTTTTCCAGTCAGACCCCACATGCTCCTCCGACAAACAGGCATGTCAAGCAGGTGAGACTGTCCTGTTGCCCCTCTGTTTGTGGGAGAAGCATACAGGGTCAGACCTGGAAGGGCTGTGGCAAAAGCATGTGCTGCATCTTCAGCCCTTTGCACTGCTCAGCCAGAGGGGTTAGACTGGGCTGAAGCAGCCCTTGATACTGCTTGGTTGAGAGTCAAGTACAGGGACAAGCATGGAAGGCAAAACCACCCTCCTTCCTCCCTGCCCTCCAAGAGCACAGGGGAGTTTTGCCCAGGGCACAAAACTCATTAGTTACACCTCTGCTTCTGCCTGTTTTAGGTTTATTAGATAACCCTAATACAGGCAGGAGCATGCGGTAGTACTCTGGGTGAGAACCACTGAAGTAAGCAGAGGCAACATAACAGCGGTTCTCAACCAGAGGTGCTGTCAAATTCAAAACAGTTTTTGGGCGGGGGGTGCCTGACTGAAAAGGTTGAGAGCCACTGTACTAACCATTTGTCTCAGCTCTAAAGATCAGTCACACACACGTACAATGGGAAATTCTTCCCAAATTATGGCTCATGAATCAGCTGCCCCTGCCCCTGTGCAAGTTGAGCTGCACACAACCACTTACCAGTGATGATGTATCTGCTCTTTGGTTCACTGCTTTTAGGCACCATCACCTCCTCTTCACCTTGCCCAGGCAGTGAGCGGAACCTTAGCTTGTAATAATCCACCTCTGCTGGAGGATTCTCCCACTCCACTTCCAGTGAGTCCCCTGTCTCGTCTGTCACCCAGATAGCACCAACCACAGACAGAGCTAGGGATAACAGAATAGGAAGGGCCAAGAGGACACAGCACATTAGCACTTCAGAAATATTAAAATGTTTCCTTTGTCTTCTAAGCACAAGACAAGAAGTGGCCAAACTGCTTCCCACCAGTACACCTTCTTCTAAGCTCTAAGATGGTTTTCTGGATGAATTGAGGACTTAACTAGAAAGAGCACAATTATTTCATCAACAAGCCTGTCTTTGACTCATTGTAACACCCCACTCTGGACACACAGGACTCAGGCCACCAACTCCATGTAATCTGTTAAAAATGAATGAATACCTCACAATAACCAAATCTTTCACTGGGTTTACCAAGGACATGGAGATGATACAGTGACACCTGGTAATAAACTGACCTTTTAGTTTTAGGTGGTTGCTTCAAATCATCAGCCTTTCAACTCAGGTAGGGAACTCATCAGAACTTATCAAAGAAGTAGTCAGGCTTGCTCAGTTCCAGATGAGAGATGTTGGAGGAAATTTTAGCTACTATATAGAGCAGTGCTGGCAACTCACTGCTAATCTTATGCCCTCTGAATACTTACAGTGCTCCAGCATGATGTGACAAAGTGCTGTACTGTGCCATGCATGCAACTGAAGTCCTTACCACTTGTGGTCTTTGAAGGTCATTATGGCATAACTTACAATAAATAGCTTCAGTATTAGCTCTCATCTGGACAAATCCCACCTGGGTTTTGCCTGTTGTAAAAGCCCTTCCACTTAAATTGAAATAGTTGCACTGTTCTCAGTAATATTCTGCATTTACAGCACACATTTCACCCCAAATAATTTTTTAAATTATGAGCAAAATCTTACCCTTTTTCAAGTCTGAGCCTTCATGCCCAAAGTCTCCAAAGGGTTATGTTGTAGGTGACAAAGGGTTATGTTGTGGAGGTAACTACATTGTCTTGAAGAGAGGAAGGCCCAAAAGGCAAGATCAAACTTCTCTACTCCCAAAGGCAAAAAGAGTATGGAGAAGGCCAGGATCAGAAGAGTGGAATGAAGAGGTGGATACTGAGGCAAGAGACCTCAGCTAGGGTTTGATGAGGAGGAATGAGCAAGCAGGGACAGTAAGGCAGTGACACTTCAGAGGCATCAGGTGGACAGAGTCCATGGAGAATGCTGAAAAGGAGCAGAGCAATTGAGAATGACAGGAGGCCAATGAACATGATAGAAGAGGGAAAAGGAGGTCATACATTTCTGCATCATGCAGTAAGACAATGGACAGTGTTCTGTGCTCTCCTTGGAATTCAGAACCATAAGCCAATGGCTGGCACTTTGGGAGAAAAAGAAATTTGCCCCTCTCCCCTCACTCCCCTCCTGCCCCCGCAAAAAATCTATTTGGAAAATATAATCCTTAAATGGGAGAAGAAAGGCAAATACTCTGAACTTGGATAGGAAATGGAACAGATTCTTCCAGTATTCAAACAGAGACTGATATAAAGCGCACACACCTCTAAAACCTAATGGTTTGCTCCACTGATATAGTTTAAATCCAACTTTGCAGAACAGCAGATCCTTAGCCTGTAATTTGCTAATGGTCTCACCTGTGCTCGCTTGTAGATTTTCTGGGTCACTGGAAATCCCCTTCTTCACATGGCGAAGCGTGATGTTATATGTTGTACTGGGATGAAGGCCCACAATCTCATAGCTGAGTTGTCCTTTGGGCACCCTGACTTGTTTTACAGAGGTCTGGTATCCCATTGGATAATAGCTGATGAGATAATAATCCACATCAATCACCTCATCCCAGCTAAGGGTCAGGGAACCCTCTGTGGTCTTTAGCAGCTGCAGATTCTGAGGGGTAAGCACTGTGGAAAAAAAGGAAGACAATATTAGAACTGATATCTCCTCTTGGAGCCTGGCTCAAGTCAATAAGAGCCTTTCCATTGTTGTCAATGGCATTTAGAAAAGAACTGTACTTTTTATTTGTTAAGCAAATGAACTTCTGAACAGGACTTGACTGGCAGCCTTGGAGACTGAAGTCCTCTGTTTACTCTCTAACAAGTTACTATCAACAGCCAAATGACAAATGGGTATACTCAGCACTGTACAGAACTGGGCACACACAGAGCTACACTGCTGTACCTGACAAATCGATTATATAAAAAAAAATGCCAGAAAAACCTCCTTAACATTGTCAATATCCCTCAAAGCACTGTGCAAGTTTGTGTAGGCAATATATGTACCTCCTTGCCTGCTTGGCTGACTACAGTTGCTATTTTATTATTCTAGTTCTGGAATACAAAATAATTTAGTACTGATGCTACAATGCCCAGAATACAGGTAGATGCAGGACTTTTTAATTATCTGTTCAAGAAGGTTTGAAAAACCTTGTACTGACACAAAAAGATTAAGGCTGTTTTGCAAATCTGGAGGCAAGAGTATGAACAGGACTTAGACACTGTGAAGCAACGCCAGCTTCACAACCCTTCTTATACCTTAAGCAGGCCATTTAAAGCCATTGTTCTGGCATTGCAGCCCAGTGTATATAGTTTAACTGGCATCCATAGCAACAGTAAAGCAAATGTCCTCTCCATCCGGCTGCAGCTGAGGAAAGACTCCATCACTGAATTTGATAGATGAATTTGCAGGAAACACAGACCTTAATGCTTCTCATCACATTCAATACAGAAGCTCAGAAAGAATTCCTAGGTACCTTGACAGATGAAAACTGATACTCTTCCCACACAATAATTGCTCAGTCACTTACAAGCAGCTGAAATGCAGTTCTGAATGTAAACCAAGTTCTTTCTGATGCACTGCCTGCCACTATTACTACTGGAAGGAGGCCAAACACTGGGACTAGTTAGAGCTGTCAGTAACATTGTACTGCCATTGAACAAACTGCAGACTGGGGAAGTAACTTCAAGGATGTAGAGAGAAGTGTTCAGATATAAGGGAAGAGGGAAGGGATAGCATGTGAGAATGCATGTGAATGTGTAAAAACAAGTATGATGGGGTAAGCACGTGTGGGAATGAGAGATTTACATGGACAGATTCAGGACCTCTAGCTGGATGGTTATAACATGTCAGTAATTTTGATAGTCCTGCTTCTGTTGCAGTTGGGTTGAGCTGAGTGGCCAGGGTAGGATTCATGCTGTGCTCAATAAGAAGACCTAGGATTTTTCTTATACTTGGCTGAAAGCCTCTGAATTAGACTAAAGCCAGGAATTTCAAAGCCGCCTAAAAGAATGAGGTACCCAACTCCCATTCAAAGTCAATTGGATTTGGGCACCTTGCACTCTTCAGCTCTCGGAAAACCCCATGCTATACGTGTGGTTTTATAGTCACATTTGTATATAAACTGCACTGTAAAGCATTCTCCTTATGGACACCCTCACTGGCCTGCACATGATAGGTGATAAGGTTAAATGTTTTCAAGCTTTGTTATTTGCTGTAAAACCAGAAAATGCAGTTTAAGAATAACAACTCATAGAATAAGACTATGAATACAACAACAGAGACATTTTAAAAAGGGGTTCCAAGTATGGCACCTCTAATCTGAGAAAGTTCTGCTCTCTGTCTAGTTTACGTGGAGCCTCTGACAACCACTCATACAACCACAGCTGCTTTATAAAGAAACAGCACAAGAAAGAGCTTCTCAAATGTTTCAGTCCCAATGTAGGTTGTATGCCTCAATTTATTATGACGTGTACTGAATCTATTGGCTTATTGATAACTAGTGCAGACTGCAGCAGGCAAGAAGGAATGAAACACTCCCTAGCTCTATTGTGATAAGTTGGTTATAGCTGGTTAGCCTCCCTCTTTGTTCATAGTTCTCCATACCCAGATTTTGGATATGGAGTAGAATTAGCTCCCTATCCCTATTCTGCCACTGTCTATGGTTTTGAGTTAGCTGCAGAAGGAGCCAAGCAAGTGCTTCACTGGGAGGAGAAGAGGGAGATACAGGGGAAACTTCTGCAAGAAAGGAAGAGGAAATAAATAAAATGAGGGTGCTTCTCACCTTGGGAGCAATCAAGGCCAACAAAGCCATCGTGGCAGTAGCACTCGCCTGTGTCACAGAACCCATTGCCATTACAGTCATTGGGACATCTCTTCTCACTGCAGTCATCTCCAATGAACTCCTCATAGCACTGGCAAACACCATTGTTGCAGATGCCATTGCCACTGCAGTTCTCAGGGCACAGCCTCTGGCTGCAGTCCTCACCAACATAGGGCTCATGGCAGATGCATTTGCCATCGACACAGCGTCCATTGCCACTACAGCTGTTGGGGCAGCTGGGATGAGAGCAGTCGCTTCCTTCCCAGCCTTCATCACAGTTGCAGCTGCAGATCTCTTGGATAAAAGTTCCATGGCTACTGCAATCTGAAATGCCTGCTAAGAGGGGGATCCAGGACCCCCATCAGCAGGTAGCAGGCAAAAAAGAAACAAGCAGACAAACAGAATTAGGAACAAAGCCATAGACAGATATGGAGAACGTCCATTCTAGACTACTGGAGGAAGAAGAGCAACTAAATGGACTGATATTAGCCGCCCATTCCTTCTACCACAAAGGTGGTCATTACAGCCTTCCTTTCTTCTAAACAATGCACTTGTCTATCAAAGAAAAAAAATGTGAATTCTCAACAATTTCCTTTTAAAAGTAAAATTCCAGCACTGAAAACAATGCAAAACAAAAGAAAATTGACTGGGAATTCCACAAGCTAGCCTCCTGCTATAGGGAATTCCAGAACTCTAAACTGAAGAATCCCCCACAACCAGAGCTTCTCAGATTAAGAAACCAAATCACCCGACATTCTGCGAGATTCTATCCCAAGTTTCAGCCTTTACCAGAAACTCCAGAACTTCACATCCCAGTGAAGAGTATGAGTTGCTCCTTGACAATATCAAGAATCTTGAAATTATTTCCCTCACCTATCATCACCTGTGTGTACAGGAAACCAAGCTCACCACCACCTCAGATACACCAGACTTCTATCACAGGCCCTGAACCTGAGCTTCCTTCATACGGTCTTGAGCCAAAGTGCATTGAGGTCAATGGTGGCCTTTCCATTGGCTTCAATCGGACTTGGATCAAGCCCCGTGTCAGGAACTTCAAGATTCCCCATGTCCACCCCAGAAACTACTTGTTTCTGTTGATCCCTCCACCCAGGGGCCTCAGACTTTCAAACTCATGTCAGAAACCCAGGATCCAGTCTGCTCAAGCCTTTCCCAGTGCAGAGCAGTACAGCACAGCACAGCACAATGGATGTGCTATAAAAGTTATATAGGAGATAGAAAAAATATACCCCAAAATAATGCACACCTTGGCCTCCCCCACAACACTTCTGTGGATTGCAGGCCTCCCTCAGCTCCATCACTTCTTTCTCCAGCTTCTCCATCCTTTCCAGAAGGGCTCTGAGGTGGTCCAAGGCTTCGCAGTCACCTTTCGGTGTGAGGACTCGGATGTTATGCCTGAATATGATATTCTGCTCCTTGCCCTCCTCTGCTTCTCCCATATCAGGCAGAGTATGACTTTCATCTCTGAGGGGCAATGGTTCTTCTTCTACCTGGATCTGGGATGACTTGGGCAGGTCAATCTTGTATGAGTGGCTGAGGGAGATTTTCTGACCTTTGCTGGTGCAATTCTGAGATGCAGGCAGTTGAAGAGCTGCTGTTTGGAGAGCACTATACAGTAACACCCCCAGAATGAAGGAAATATTATGCCAGTAACCCATCTTGTAGTTCTTCAGAGAGATGGTTGGTCTCATAAAAATAGCAAGGCTGGTTTCAGAGGAGGAAAAAAAAAGAGAAATTCTACCATAAAACCATTTTTAAAGCACTTTCAAAGGTTAAAAATGGCTACCATGACCTCTTGTGGTGCAATCTTCAAAGTTCAGTGTCTGTGGAACAATATTTGGATGACAGATATATAAACAGTGTCTAGGGCAGTGGTTCCTAACCCAGGGCTTGCAGGTAGCCCACAAGATTCTCCACTATTGCCTGTGCCTACCAGAAATTAAAAGATGAAAAATTGAGATTGACTGAAAAAGCAAACTATGATGTTGACTCAAACACATTACTTGCTCAGTATTGCTGCCCAAGCCAGCACACACTGCTGGCGTAGGGTGCAGGAAGAGATAATAATAATATTCATCAGTAGGTGGCTCTCTTGATCAATAGTTGGCTCCATGAATCAACTCTGAATTAGTGTCCCAGCCTGTTTTAGTAGTCACTGTGCTGAAGATTTAAAACTGAACCTACCCATAATGGCTATTAAATACCACACATCACTTTCATGAAGCTTGTGGTGTTGACCTTACGTATTAGACCCAACTACATACATCTGCAATTTATGCGGACATATCATTCTCTCACTTATTACATTAAGTCGATGCACAATGTTGTGGTGTGCTGTTAAACGCATCACTTCATAAAGGGTTTCATTTCACAGGTGGAGGTACAAAGAAGCCTGTTTTAAGGTAATCTTTCAAGTGTCTAATAAAAATCAGCTTCTTAACGTAGGATATTTTGAGACAGTCTCTTAAGAAGAGAGGTTGGCTAATATAAATGGGATCTTGTACAGGTGTCACTCTATGAAGTTTATATATCAGCTTGTTAAATGGAAAACAATTCAGAATCTGTAGAATGAACCTCCCTGCATAAATGTAAAATATCTGTTTTGGTTTTAAAGTGAGTGAAGGGCTGATGTAAAATATCTGATTCACAGCTCTGTGGCTAGGTCCAGTAAGGGACTTCCAGGCTTAAAGCATGACTTTAGGTGTCTCAGTTCTGCCTGAGTCTAAAATCATGATTAAAAGCCTCCTGTCTGACTGTCACCTAACCCTGAAGGAATTTAAATGCAGCATGTACCTTTCAAGTTTTCTGGACCCTGAGAATCCTGCTTCTGCACAGGCTCAAAATTGCCTCAGTCTGAGCAGCTCAGTGCCTCATTCCTACAAGGAAGTTCAAACGGGATCCAAAAATTAGGCTCCACTTAGTTTCCTCAAGGGTCTCAATCCGGTATGCCTTCTCTGAGTACCCCTACCAGTAATGTACACTGACAAGATCAGGCAGGGATTTACCACATGTTAGCTGATGTATGGTAAATGCATACACCCTCTGTGGTAGATCAAAGCTAAACTGTGGTAGTTTAGCTCTCTTTTACTGAGATCTACACTACCAGAGTAGCAGTTAAAGAATTTGAGTGGTTGCTCTGAAGCGGATATCTGATTTACTATGTAGTCACTTGAAAAGTCAGACCATAAATTACTACATGTAACCTCAGTGTTAGTTGTTCAAGTGAGAACAGAACTGGCAAACAAACAATTTCTGGCTAATGCTAAAGGCAAAGATAATTCCTGGCATGGTACTTGTAGGTAAAAGTAAAGCTGGTTTTTAGAGACATGACCACCCCTGCACCACCTCCCAACCACATACACACAACCTGGGAACATCTCTGCTTTTCTCTTCCCTAACCATGCCCAGGAAAATGGATGGGCTTTCTGCATGACATTACAGATAATCACATTAATTACCCAAAATCTGACATCATGGCACATGGCATTATCGTGTAAAGTTTCCTTGGCTTTACCTAAGCAGACTATAAGAAAGTTCCCTACATGTTCAGAAGCATGATGCTCTTGCTCCTAGATAAAAATAATTCTGTATACATTCCAAATTTGGTGTCACATAGCACAGCAGAACATGTGCAGAGTCCAGTTCCGAACACCCTACTCTCCCTTGTTTACTAAAACTGTTACGGAAGTCAGTGGGCATTTTGCCAGGGAAGAATGAATGAAACAGGGGGAGGCCTTCAGGCTTCAGCCATTATTATATAGGAACAAAATAGAAAAGAAAAGCAATCTCAGCTGTCCCCTCCCAATCTGCAGCATTTTTCTCAAATGGCATCTGTCTAATGCATTTCTCATCTCTCAGCATATTATTCTGCTGAAGCAGATCTTCTTCCTCTTCATCCTTATTCTGAGGTTTTGCACCCAACCTGTCAATCCCTGCTCAGCCATCCTCAATATGCTATTCCATTTTCCAAACCATCTTTCTCTAGGACAGTCATAGAAATTGACCCCCTTCAGTTGTCTCTCTCTCTGACGCATTCTGAGACAAATCAAGTAACGAGTATTTGTTTTGAGACGTTGTACTTGAAATATAGTACTCATAGATTCTCATCATAAACCACTTTAGAAATATTGAAAGCCTCTTTTAACAAGGTTTAATTTCATATTCCTAAGGATTTACATTTCCCCCCTTCCCCAAAACAAATGCACATATCCATTCTCTCAGCTCTAGGAATTACATGCCATTTTGAATTGTAACATGAAGTCCCTACTAATTAAGGCCTTTTGAGTGCCACAGATTGATCTCAGATTTTCCTGGCCAGGCAGATCATTCAAAAGAAAAACCTCTGAACATAAGCACTTCTGTCAAATCTAATGAGAGAGGAGAGCAGTTCTTCTGGCTTCTACATCATGTAATAAAGAGATTTCCCCTGCTGTTTAAGAAGAAAAAAGGCAGTTTAATTGAACCTACATTGAGCATATGATATCATATGTGTAAGAAAACATAAATGGAAACAACAGGATGAAATTGGGCAAAGGAAAAGTTTAGACTGAAAACCAGGAAAAAAATCCTACCAATAAGAGCTATTATACTATGGAATAATGTCCAAAGAAATGTAGTGGAAGATACATTGCTTGCAACATTTAAGCCTAGAGTGAAGAAAGCACAAGATAACTGGTCCAGTAAAGCAAAAAATAGTATTCTGAGAAGGATAACATAATCTAAGTCCATAAGTCTTTTCCCTTCCTAACGTTGATGCCCGAGTATTTTGGTGTATTAAATTGCACAACGTGCTCTTTTTCTTGGGCAAAATGCAGGGAGGCTAATATGACATAAATGGGGAACAAGGAATTTGAGAGACAAAGGTCCATATTCTTTGACTGGTTTAAATCATCGTAGTTGTATTGAGTTCCTTGGAATGGTAGCGGTATGTACCAGCTGAAAATACGGCCTAAAGATCTATTAAATAAGCTGAAGGAGGCAACAAAGGGCTTTAAAAAGAGATTTTGAAAGAGGTTAATTTTCAGCTAAGTCCTAAAATAGAAGGGAAACAGGAAAGCTGTTTGAGGAGGCAGGTGATGTGGTCACATCTTCTTACATGTGCAAAAGCAGCAAGCGTCTTTTATTACATGCTAGATCTAGATAAAACATGGAGAGGCTTCAGGGATGGAAATTGCTATAGTCAAGGTAAGAGATAACAACAACATGGATATGGAATTCAGCTGCGGTGGGACTGACACAGGCAATGCTGCCAAGGTTGAAATAATGGAGATTTGCAGATGAAGAGCTATGGTCAAATGTTCAACTGACAGAGGCTCAGCAAGCCAGTTTTGTTAAGGCACACCAGTTTCTGTTATCAACAGCACACAAAGAAATGAACTGTTAGCACCACATCCAGCCACCTTTGACTTCCCTGCTTGAATGATCAACCCATTTAGAGCTGGGGCAGCTAGGGGCAGTCTTTGACAAAAGTCCAAAAGCAAGGCTCAAATACATCTCTAGAGGCATATTGAGGCCATAATAAGGCACTTCAATTTCAGTGAACTTCAGTGCCACCCACATGTTCGGCCCCCAATTGCAACACCCCACTGGAGTCCTTCAAAATGGCCATGAAGACATACCTGGAAAACATCACCACTACAAGGGGTACAATGGGTCAGGGGTTTACTCAGCCCTGCAGCTCCACTTTCATCTCCTCTATACTTGTTGGGGAGAGTTGGGGGGTGTGGGGATGGAGGGGAAAATGGCAGGATGGACAATGAATGATCTCCCATGCATTCAGCCTACAGTCTCTTGGTTTGGTTCCAGAGGCCAGGAGACATGCAAGGAATCCTTTATTCCAGCTCTATGTATAAAAATCAGGATTCTCTGCCTGCCTTTCAGCCTCTGGAGATTGGTGACAATGGCCAAGCACAAAGGAGAGCACGCTCTGGTTGACTGTTCTGCTTTCCCATCCCTCCTCTCTCAAGCATTGTGGGATGCTGGAAGACCAGGCAACTCCCTGGTAATGCTCTGTAGAGTGTACAGATGTTTCAGAAAGCATATCAAAAGGAAGTGCTTAAAAATATTCCTAATTTTTAAGGATAATTTTTTAAGCACTTTGGCCATTTTTAGGAATTTCTTTAGCTGTGAATGCCTGCACACTTTCTGTTTGGAGTTCTTCAAAGGCACATCAAATATTATGTCAGTTCATGCCCTAAGACATGTTATCTACTCTAACACAAAAACTCTCAATAAGAGGTAAGGGAGGAGAAGGAAAGTCCAGAGTCAGAGACTTCTCCAAAATTGCAGAGAATGGAAATAAATAGAAGCTCCGAGCCCAGGAGAGAAATGGAGGACCTAGATTAATGTTTGTGGTTGGTTCTCCTCTACCCAGGGAGCACATCTCTGTCTTTGAAGGCATAGAGAGAAGTGACAATTTTCACTTGATCTGGCCCCTGAAAGTGCTCTAGTGTAATGACCAAACAGAAGTGCATGGCTGCAGAGTGCTTCTCTGAATCCTCATTGCATGAGGGTTAGATGAAGATGCTTCAAAACAGAGCATCTTCAGTAACTTCTGTTTGCACCACCTCCCAGCCCCAGCAGTGTTTTCAAAATGGGGGGGGGGGGCGGCTAGGGAGGGAGCAGAGGGAGTTTAGCCCCAGGCTTTTTCAGCCAGCACTGGAAGGTGGGGAGGATTTATTGAAACCCCCCTTCCCAAGGTGGGGGGGGCTCCAAACCATCCACCCCGCCTTTAGGTGCCAGCTGGGGAACCCCCAAAATGAGCTCCCGCCACTCTATTTCCCCCCTCCCATTCTGAAAACACTGCCAGAGCTGGGAGGGGGGAGGGGTGTTGCTAGGGTAAAGCAGCTCTGGGCTCACAGCTGCTCTAAACAGCATCTGGGATTCCCCAACCCCTGGGACCCAACAGCAAACTTCTTCCAGTCCAGGGGATCGTTGTAACTCATGGCGCTTCCTACAAAGCACTGCGAGTTACAACAGAGAGCTCTACTTCTGTCTGCACCTTGAAACATTTAGCTAAAGGAAGCTGAGACAAAGTGATTAAGACAAGCTGTAAAAAGGATGATGTTCTTACAGGGGGTGAATGTGTACATACAGTATCATACTAGAGCCAAAGAGCTGGCTCTAATAAATGGCTGAGGGAAAATGGCCATGAGGCAGATAGAAAAGAGCTGAAGGCTAAGAATGTGACTCCATAAAAACCAGGGTATTGTGCTAATGCCAAGGAGAACAGTTCCCATGCTAAGTCCAGAATGAAACTGGCCTGGGATATTGAGGCTGCTTCTCAAGCAGTCTCAAGGGAGGTTGTAGACAGGTCTGGGAGGTTTCTTGACAACGAAGGGAATGGCAGATATGAGAAAGAGAATCTAAAAGGTCTCTTTTCTGGGCTAGTTTGGCTGTAGTGTCTGAAAAGTTATCGCTATGTGCAAGCAACATTATGAAAATAAATTAACACCGTAGCTGCCAAGGCCCCCAGGAAGGTTGGCATAGTGTGCTGGAGACTCAAGTGTTAATGAACACAAAATATTCTATTAGCTTCCCCTAGTGTCCATAACATAGATATCAACTATAGAAACATTTGCAGTATTAAGACCAGAGAGATTAATAACTCTGAAGCAGGGTGGTGTGCAATAATAGCAACTTTCAGGGAGGAAATAAATGAGTCTTCAGAACTACATGGCAAATCCTGCTCTCAGTTATGTAAGAGTAGATTTGAAGTATCTGCATGGAGATCAATTAAGTTACTCCTGACTTATCCCAGTGTAAATAAGAGCAGAATCTAGTCTGTTATGTCTTTCAATACTCTAACAAACTTTTTACCAATTAAAAAGTTTTTTAACAGAAGCCAATAACAGTGAAAAGCAGAGCTCACTTCTGAAGGCTTTCTACATTCACTAACAGCTCACAAGTTACCCTGGGTGCACAAACGGTGAGAACATTTCACAGAATCTGGATATGGAAAATACCTAGTCACTTTTTCAGCATCCTAGTCCATCCTCCTGACAGTTGCTTCCTACTATAGTTACTTGTGTCTTGCCCAGTCTAGCAGGGCGCTCAGCCAGGTTGACATCAGAGACAAATTACTAATTTTACAAAAGTTCCGTAAATGTAATTGAATTCAAATGGTTGAATTCCTGTCTTTACTTTTTGTACTGGGGCTCTGCAACTATTTCCAAGCCGTTTCCTTTAGAAAGCTGCTCCTAACAATTATATTTTCCTCTGTGAGCTACATGCATACATGTGTGTGAATAACTGACTTTAGTGAAACAGATCATATATTGGGCCCCAAAGAAATGGGTCATTGTCGCTACAGCATAAGCCAACCATGTTCTACTTTGGCTGTTAGTACAAACCAGCAAGATTTCTTCTTATGCAGAAGTGCCATTGCCTTTTCTCAAGAATATCACTCACAGGCTTCCTCACACTCTGCTTAAATCTATAGACATTAAAATGATTCCAAATAGTTATTAGAATATGAAATGAAAACTAGCCAGGTAAGTATTTGTGCTTTTGGCCTTTCCTTTCTATTTATCTTTCATGTATTATTTCGACACGTGTTCTCTCTCCTACAAAGACTACATTATTGTGTGCTGACTTTACTGTGTCTAGATCTCCTTTCTTTCTCTGAAAATCTCAGTCAGCATCTTTGCTTTCTCTTTTTTATTTCTTGACTGAGTTAATTAACATATTAAGCATTCTGTAGAAAGTGTGTAACGTCAGCTTCTTTCTCTTATACCGATAGTAACAAACCAGATACTTATATTATTTGCTCAGCATGTGGTTTGTATTTTAACTTGTGGAAAACTGGCTTATAATAGAATTAAGCCTCTCTTTAAGACAGGTCACGTTTTTAATTCATAATTTGAGTAAATCTTGTACTCATTCAATTGTTTTCTTTCATTTTATCTCCTGAATTTTATCTTTCTGAGATAACTATTAAAATAAATATGGTACTTATCATACAAAAATGTGTTTCATTTTACCTAAAGATCCAGAGCTAAAAAAAATTTGTTTTATGGAATGTGTGAACTGATGGCCATGGGGTGTGATGCACATGCTGTAAGTGAAAGGTAATTTTAATGATCATCCTTGTATTTAGCTTGCACTACAATTCTAATGTGTAAATATGAATAAATAACCCTAACATGAGTACATGACAATTGGAAAAGCCTTTACAACAATAAAAATGACATAGAAACTAGTATCTGAAATAAAATCTGCAAATAGCAGAACTCATTGTGAAACAGACTGGCTTAGTAACAAAATCGTGGTTTCATTGACTTCAATGCCAAAAATCCCATGGACATCAATGGAGACAAGTTGTCAGACTAAAGTTAGGATTTGAAGGGATACATTCTGTGCAGTTTAAACTTTTTCATTTAGAACACCAATCTTCTATCAGCTATGTATTATAATACTAATACTTACCAACCACCATCTATAACTATGTATTATAATACCAATAACTATGTATTATAATACTAATACTTACCAACACGTATGCTGAAAGGCTTATTTCATTAGGGCATAGGAAGGGTTCTAACGTTAAGTGAAAGACACTATAGAAAAAAAACAAAGAATAAGATTCATGTTTCATTCATGCCATCTATGTTGCTTGTCCTAAATGAAACTCTGGAAAAAAAAATGCCGCCCTTACCTCTGGGATAGTCTTTAGTGTTCTGCTTTGGGGCCCTTCTTATTCAGATGTCACTTGCAAGAGCAAGCTGAAAGCTGCCACTGCTCTTCTCTTTCCAGCTCAGCTGCTGATGCCACCAGTCCCCACTGGGTTTAAATCTCTTTCGGACCAAATGAAAGGAACCAATAGAGACACTTGGGTGTTTCCCTTCTAATATTTTCCTAAGGGATGAACAAGGGTAGAGAGAGAGAGAGTGAAAAATTCTTTGCTGCCTACCAGTGAAGGAAGGAAGGTCCAGCAGCAAAATTTGTGACTAAAACCTGACAGACATCTAGAATTTTGCAAATGCAAAAGCAGAGATTACAGAATATATTATGAAGAGACAAATAAGCACTTTTAAAACTTATTTTCTGGAGGCATGAGTTTTTCAACATACAAAACAAGATTATGGTACACATAAAAAACCCCAGTTAACGTTAAATCACAATACTGTAGTAACCTATCACATCATTAACAAATCTCAGGCACTTGAAGAAAAGCAAAATATAAGTAAAGGAACCATTAATCTTAAACACATGCATAGAACCATGTATTAACTGCTAGAGTTCCATAGAATCTGCCCTATTCTGCTCATGAAGTGCTAGAGCTTGTTGAAAAATAAAATAAAAAGAAGTTTCGTGAACATTTTCAAAACTTTGAGGTTTAAGATTGAGAAGTTCAAATTTATTCCTTACCTTTTTTATTTGCTGCTTGTTTTTTATTCATATTATAAACTGTTTTGAAGTTATTTTAATGTCAAAGGATTTGAAATGGCCCCTTTTTAATTATTTTATATTTTCAAATATATACATATTTATATTGAAAATTGTATTAAAATATTTTGTTTACAACCTGATTTTGCTAAACTGCACATTTCTGTAACAATTCTGATAACATAGATAACATTTTCAATAATATTTTCCATCACTTTAATGCACTGAAAAGTAGCACATTTTTCACACACAAAGTAAAAAACATTGAGAATCCTTTGCAAAATAAGAAATATAATTTATTTTTAAAATCCATTTTTTAATCATCATCATTAGTAGAAGATTTCCTAAAATGGTTCTGAAATGAAGCCTGCATCCCACACAGCCCTTGCCAGCTTTATTAGCCACCCTTCAGGACTTTGCCCTTTTCTTGGGTGGAGTGTGGCAACTGTTATTCACAAAGGGCAAACCCACAAACTAATGACAAGCTTGATACTGGCCAAAGGCCTTTTGGATGCACACCACAGAAGGAGTGAGGGCACAGAAAGGAGGGCAAAAGAGGCAAAGAGCTTATGCAACATATAAAGGCACCCTCCGAGGGAGTGAATTACACCACTTTCCTCCCATGCAGAATGTAGCCCTGATTGTAACCAGAGGCTGCCTTGGATAGTTATTTTTGAGGTTTCATTTTCTTGCCCTTTATTCATTGCCTGTTTTGCATTCCTATCAGGAACTGCTTAGTAGGAAGCAATATGATCCAGCGTTCTAAGCAGAGAACTGAGAGCGCCAGAAGCATCTATTTTCTTGCCCAACTTTTGACGCTGAACCAGCATTGCCTCGGGTGAGTCAGTTAATCTCTCTGCATATCAGTGTCCCACCCAGTACATGATATGGTGACAATGGCCCAGACCCTCTGGTGCTATGCACCACTTTATGCTTCCACACTTCATCAGTGTGGCCCTAACGGCAGCATAGCAGGCTAAAGCAGATTCACCAAAATACAGTTTGCCACTCCCTTTGTCCTTTGCTGGTTTGAAAAGATGGAGTCCGGAGAACAGCATGCAGATTGTCTCCGTGCTCTTGTGATTTCCTTCTTCCATAAAAGTCTCTTGAAATCCCAGGAAGCTGGAACAATGTACAGTGAAAGCCATCCCTAACTTATACTGCAGGACCAGCTTAGCTCAGAGTGGGCTCCAGACTTGAACTAATCATTCTTACCTTAACTATGGGGTGTTGAACAGTCCTGTGCTCTGGGAGGTCAGACATTATTATATGCATGTTAAGTGTTACAGATCTGTCAGCCAGCCATTCAGTCACCTGTAAGGTTCTGATAGTTAACTCAGATCTGCCCTGCACACAGCAAGTCTTCCAAGTACTGGATATGACTGCAAGGTAATCATGAGCATACCAAATAACCTGGTTATTATGCAGTTGATAATGCTCCCTAAAAGGATTCCAGACCTAGGGTTTCATTCACTAGCAGATTCAAAACCGCTTCTGCACTACTTATGTACTGGAAGATTCCTTCCACATAGGAAATCTTCTGCTGGTGCAAGAGCAGCTGTATGGGCTCCTAGCCTCAGCTGCTTTATGATGACAGTCTCCTGACTTCTTTACATTGCAAAGTCTTTGCGCTAGGACTGAGCCCTGAACCTTTTACCTCTATGGTCAGAACCATCTCCGGTGAGTCCCAACTGAAAATTGGTACCTTATCATAGCAGCCTGGTTGTCTGTAAGGTGTAAGTTAGTGATCTCAATTCAGTTTATAGTGACATATGTCCATATGGCAGAAACCATGACCACGGTTAGTACCCTGGTCAGTAGGGAAACCAAGGACTGAATTGTCTGTGGAAAATGAACTGGTGTCTTAAATTTAATGAACAGTTGTTCCAAGACATGGACAGAGTTGGTGCTCATGGCCTTGAGTCATTCTTAAAATTTTGTGCCACTTATTATGCTGCAGATAAACAAGAATTCAGTCTCTGTAGCTGTTATCTAGCACTTTTCTCCAGGATTAAATTGTGTGCTGAAAAAAACTGCAAATCTCATGTAATATGCAGGAACCCTTTTCCCGTTGTTCAGGCATTATACCAGACATCTCAATAAAAAACCTTTCACACAGACAAAAGGCAATGTGACAGACCTATTAAAGGAGTTGAATTCACAAGTGAGACTTTTTAGATGCTCCACCTGATCCATATGAAGTTCTAGTTTCATCCAGGTGATTTGTTCAACCTTAAAAGTGTGATGGATATTCCACCTGAAACTCATTTTACTTCAGGAACTCACAACTCGGTTTTACTTCTGAAACAGTTATTTTAACTCTGCTCAGTTGAGACCCCACTTAGTACAACAGAGCAGTTACTTTTATGAGGCACTAATAACACAGAAAGAAAACACATCGCATAAGAACTTCTCAATCATTTTTTTACCAATGAGGGTCACTCATATGTAAAATTCATGCAGTTAATCAAAATTGTTGCGCTGAACAGCTGCAAAGTGTTGCCACTGTAAGTTAGCTACTGAAAAAAAGAGAGTAAGATCTAGGAATAGGTAAGGCAGATGGAAAAGTAGTTCAAGAGAAGGAAAAAGAAAGCTGAGGAAGAGATGGATAGATAAGCCTGTTGCATAGTAATTATGGACATGCAGTAAGGACAGACTCAAATGGAAAGTGTCCACGTTTTGTGGTGTATACTTCACTTTGGTTGCATCAGATTTTCCTGCTGGAACTTTACCCCTGTCATTTGTACAAGTTCTTCCCTCCCAACATCAATTCCTTGTGGTCTGCACAAAGATTTATCCTGAGGTTTTGCAGAGGCTGCCAGTTTAATCTAATGAGGGATGTACTTACTTAGACTGACATCAGCACTGGGATAAAGTTCTTATACAATGTAACTAACCCCCTAGAATGGTTTATGTTTAATTCTTCCAGGAAAGCACTTTAAATGGAGTTTCATTGTAAAAGGAAAGACATGAGGGCAAAAGATCCACCAGCTTTATTCCTAGTGATAGCAGGAGCCGTCTCCATTCAGCTGTGGCATGGGACATCAGTTGCTCTGGTAGTGATAGGCTCCGAGAACAGTCTCTTCACTCACAATGGATCAAGCCTAGCCCATAACTCTTTTCTCCCTGCTTGTGGAAGCAGCTACAAGAATATAAGGAACCACAGATTTCTCTCCCCCTCCCTGCAGAGTAACAACTACCAGCCTCTTTGTCCTTGTCTGCACTAGCAATCTGTTCCAGTTCCAACAATTGATGGTCAACCACAAATGTACCTTCTTTGGTAGAAAGTCTAGGTATAGCCAAATGACGCCATGAGTAGTAGTGGTGAAACTTACCCAGAATTGGCACTGCCACAGGGAAAGCCCTGGAAGGTCATAAGTTAGCTTGGGGGAA